CCCAGAACTGTGGCGATCCACCAATTTTTTGAATCCTGAACCCCAGAACTGTGGCGGTCACGATTCGAAAAAACTGAAAATTTCAGCTTCGAGTTCCGAGCGATCATAAAATTCTGTCGCGAAGATGATGCTTCGAAGCAAGATACAGATGGTAATCGGATTGACCAAGAACTGGCAAAATTCAAGTCAGGGGGACGTTCAGTACGAGATTGATCTTCGAACAAAATATTGCCTGAACGAAAGCGCTGATACCAACGACGTACCGGGGCTTAAAATACCATTTCTTCTCTGAATGCACCACAGATATTCGCGACAGCCGTCGATGGATTATGGCCTTGCAGAAATTCGTAAAAGACAATAGCTCTCATACAGCTTCGGTCGACTAAGGTCATAATTGCGAAAGACTTGCAAGGACATGTTTATGTGTTCCCCCCCCCCCTCCAGTACAGGTCTGGAACGATCTACGATAACCTACTACGGAATCCTTCCGAGTGGCCCCCCGAAAGAATCTAGAAAAGGATGAAAATTCGGATCAAAACTTTGTACTCAACCTAATATTTTCACTCCGTAATCACTGAAGTTGATATCAAAACAATTGAACCACCAGCATATCTAGTATTTTTCCCTTTTGAGTATTCACCACGGAGCTCATAGCGCAAAAACTCTAGATATATAGATGTTACGCTGTCATATCGGTCCATAACGAGAATTGCTGACCTGATGTTCACAACTTAGATTCCCCCAGCCTATGCATTGAAACCCTAAAACGTTGAGTAGGTGTTATGATGATATGGCTACAAGAAGCGATCGGTACTGAATAACGGATATTGATCAGTGCCTATTTATATTGGAAGATAAAGATCTCCATTATTTCTTAACTGAAAGCGATTGGAGAGAAGAGGCAAAGGGGCATTTGGGAGTTGGTATATAAAGAAGATTCGCGTGGAGTAGCCGGTTGATCCCACGGGTAATATTGAGCAATAAAGTGTACAGAGACATATGTTCTGCTTAACAAGGACACTCCCGTGCCGAGAACTTAAACAACATAATCAGACAAACCTTACGTGCGAGCGGTTGCGTCGCGGTTTCACGCTATAGCACGTTATTTTGGGGTGTATTGGCACTGCGGGAAGGCCTTGATGACAGAAGATTCCCTCTTTCGCAACTTCGCTTATCGGCGGTTGCGTAGCGCGTTGAAAGCGTTATTCTGTAGTGATTACTAATTGTAGGAAGTAGCTTTCGACAATGAATGAGCTGTTGAACTATAATTTGGTAATGTATGTCTCTTTTCCTGCATGTTTCCTCGTTCATGCTTCTTCCAAGACCGAAGGCGGGTAGTTACCCTCCCTTAGTGAATGGCTAGTGAACAATGGTGCGTGTTTCTATTTTTTTGCTCTTGGTATAAGTTTCTTCTAAGACACCTGCAGAGTAACGACCTTCACTGATAGAGTGCTGAACCCTGATTTAGGGGTATGTTAATTTCTGTACAGTTGAAGACCAATCTTGATGAGGTGTGAAGACTACATTTTATCAGATTATTGGTTCGTGAGGCCTATATCTGATAGCGTAGCGGGACGTGAGTTCATAAGTGGGTACAAAGAACAGAGGGTATATACAACATATTTTATTACTTATATATATTAGATTATAACATGACTGGATGAAGGGGGAGGCCAGGACAAGTCGGCCAGAGCCGATACGATGGGCAAGCCACACAGAGCTAGACGCTCGAGATGTGTAGAGGCCAAGTTGCCGGTATCTGGCTCGTTTTATAGTGGCCCTGTGTAACGTCCGTGGATAGGTGGTCTCGTCCTGGTGGCGGTCGGGCAGCGAGGAAACGACAAATTCATTGTACTATCTGCATATCTTTACCAAGCGTGAATGATAAAAAATCGAAGAAAATGGGAACAGTAAGAAGGTGAAGGATCATGAGAAAAATTATGAACTGGAAAAGCTTTAATAGCGCTAGTTAGGAATTCTGTTTTTGTGCACAGGTGAAAGCGAAATGCGAAACTAAGCGGAGTATTTGGTAGAGCAAAGAACCGCGACTTTATTGCTTTTTTATTTTGCACAAAATCAACACTCTAAGCCAGTTGTAATAGGAAGTTTTCTGCTGAGAAACCTGATTTTTTAATAGAGGCTTTGATTTTTCACTGCTGTTATTCTCTTCATTCAATAAATTCCACCTGCTGCATATAGATATGCGAGCAGCGCAGTGATCATGGAGTTTCCACACCTAATTAGGATCGCCTCGCGTCCTCATGCCTTGCCTTTGTTTCATTCTCCATCTAATCAGCTTCCCTATTTTCTGCACAGTCGCTGGCGATTACACACAACGTGTGGCTTTTATTGAGACCTCTCTTTGACATGAATGTCGTCATCTATAGCCTCTTTCGATTGGATGACTTGTATAAATCAATCGTTGGCATACCCCTGAACCAGGAATCAACACTCTATCAGGGAAGGCCATTACTCGGCAGTTATCTCAGAAGAAACAGAAGCCAAGAAACCTGCACTAGAAATAGAAACACGCACCATTGTTCACCAACCATTCACTAAGGGAGGGTAACTACCCGTCATTGGTCTTGGAAGAAGCATGAACGAGGAAACATGCAGGAAAATAGACATGCATTACCAAATTATAGTTCAACAGCTCATTCATTGTCGAAAGCTACTTCCTACAATTAGTAATCATTATAGAATAACGTTTGGTACTATTCTACTATTACACCCCAGAACTATTCTACTATTACATCCCCTAAAACTCAAAATTTTAATTTTCGATGAACCTTCGCCTATAGGGGTAATCCGATGCCCTGATAACGAATACGACCTTCATTTTTGGCGCTGGCGCCATTTGGAGCCAATTGGCGCCAAATTGGCGTCAATTGGCGCCAAATGGGGCCAGCGTCAAAAATGAATGTTATATTCGTTATCAGGACCTCAAATAACCCCTAAACGCAAGTTTTCAGCAAATTTGGTGAGAACACCCTTGGCGCCAGGTTGCCGCCAATTGGCTCCATATGGCGCCAGCGCCAAAAGTGAAGGTCATATTCGTTATCAGGGCATCGGATTACACCTATAGGCGAAGTTTCATCGAAAATTAAAATTTTGAGTTTTTGGGTGTGAAGTAGTAGAATAGTACCTAACGTTTTCAACGCGCTACGCAACTGTCAATAAGCAAAGTTATGAAAGAGGGAATCTTCTGTCAACAAGGCTTTCCCGCAGTGCCAAGACACCCCAAGATAACGTGCTATAGCGTGAAACCGCGACGCGACCGCTCGCAGGTAGTTGTCTGATAATGGAACGCGATTAAATCTCGCCACCGGCTGCCGTTTGAATTACTTTCCCGCGCGTGGATCTTTAAATGATGCATGATGGGGTGCGATTGGGGCGCATCATGTGCTTGTGAAAGCGAGGACGAATAAATGCTTGGGTTTCGTTTAAGGTTACCCCTTTCTCGCACATTCTTCGGGACTGGATTCTTCAGTAAAGTTACGTCAAAAGTGGAGTTGTTTTTGCGATTGTATTCCCGATAATGTCTATACCAAGCCGTCTGTGATAAACTTATGTCCCTCGCCCTCACGATTCTTAGAATTTTCAGTCACTATAGTTCCCTTGACAAGCGAGATACCCACTTCCCAGGATGAGATTCAGAAACAAGAAGTTAGCATTCGAATCTTTGTTTCGCGATTATTAATCCAATATATTATCTCGTGATTATCATTATAATATCGTGCGTATGTACATTTTCGGCCGTTTTCCCAGTACAGATTGCTTTATAGTAGAAGTGTCACGGACGTTTCGCTCGACGTGCAGCTTGTTGTTACCAGTGGCCTGAAAGGGTTTTGAAGCTTTTGGTTTTTACTGTAATTTGCATGTTTGGAACTGTGTAGTAAATAGGAATTAAGGGTCGTCTTAGTCATTCTTTTTTCTCGAAAAAATGGGAAATTGCGACAAGCGTACAACAGAGAGAAGAGAGATGAGCGAAATAATAAAATGAAAATTCAGTCCGGCACTCGACTCTTACATTAACCCCCTGGCTTACCCCACCACCCACCCCCGTGTCCTTGCCCAAAGCCCTTTTTCGACGCGTCGTATATGTGACGGGTAAAAATATGCGTATTAACACGTGCCGGATTACTGTAAGAACCGAGTGCCGGACTGAGTTTTCGTTCCTGTGAGCGAAATAGTAAGAAAGCTGAATTCACCTTGCTCATGAGTCTTGCTCCTCATCGGATGACGTCTCCGTTAATCGTATCACCTCTTCGTGTAGGTCTTTAGTTGGTTCTCTTTCTTTCTTTACCTTCCGCCGCTGAAAAGATTTAGTAAGAAGATAGTGTATTCCCAATCCTTCAATCGAGTAAATGGGCACCTGGTGGAGAGGTATTCTCGATAATTCAGGCTTGCCTCCAATTTGCGACAATTCTGGACGTACGGCCAGGGTACTTGATGGAGAAGGTGGACCGATTCCTGCTGCCAGTTGTATGTGATGTAAGATCTTCTTCAAATAGTCCATCGCCTCGTCGGTGTCGAGCTTAGTTAGCGATGAAGCGTTGGCTTCGACTACAGCATACGCCTATAAAGTTTGAATTGTTGGAAATTTGTTATGATGTTTCGCAATTAATCATATCTAACTATTAACACCCACACTCCTGATAGCACTAAAGAGATTGTTACGTGCTTCACGACGTTCTTGTGGTGGTGCCGTGGGCATATCCATGAGGGGCTCCAGTGTAGGTGCAGTAGGTATAGCCCGTACTGTTGGTGCTAAGCCTTCGGGATAGTGTATCCTCACCGCATGCCGATGCAGGCAACTGATTCCGCTTCGAGTTTCGAGGCACGTGCAAGTCCATACATACGCGCCTACACCGCACGATAAGCAGTGCGTATTAATCTAGAGACGAATAAATAACGTAACTCAGATATTTAGGTAAATTCTCAATTACGTGAACACGACATAGGCAAAGCAGTGCAATCACTCAAAGATGCCAAGGCTTCTAAAAATGCACGTTATAAAAGTGAAACGTTAATTTTACCAATTCATCGCATGGGCAGGGTCCTTCATAGATCACGTCGAATTCTTCCGTTTTGGCTGTGTTTCGAACCAGCCACTTGTTCGTTGCTACGCTGACTACGAGGTCAGGTGCTTGTGCATAAATAGTTTCCGCTCTCCTGTGGTTTTTATTAGCCTCTTGCAGCCTATACGCAGCGGCAGCAAATCGACGACGGTCCTATAAAGACGTGTTAGGTGATGTTTTGTGATTCACAACCACTATAATGTGTTTTTACCTTCACCGCTATAGACTCAGAAAGATCTTCAATAGCATTGATCAAAAGTTCCACAAACGCATCGAGGCGGCAATTGGAGTTTCGATGTTAAAATTCCTCCTTTATCCTCAAATGGAACCTCTCACTGATCATTGTGGTGTCGAGGATGGCTTTATTCGCGAAAGATGCCCAGCTTGGTATCCGCCCTAATGCAAATTATATCAACTACTCTGATGTAAAAAATAAAAGTGTGGCATTTCTCTCCCACGCATAAATGTTGCTAATGCCAAGATAGTTCCGCTCCAAATACTCGGCCATTGTGTTCTGGCTTTTTTCTCGAAGGTAAGCCAAAATTTCTGCGAAACGCCTTTGAAATTTGTCCAGCTGTCACTCTCCCAGCAACTTCCGGAGGGCTCCAATTACCATCGAACGCATTGAGGCCTAAATTTTTGCACTACTTTTATTTCCGACATGCTCATGGTTGCCGGAGTTACTCATGTCTTCGAACCTCCACAACTTCCTTCGTTTTTCTTTCCCACGTTTGAGCTATGTGAAACCTAGAGAGATGGAGCTTAGTGGGCAGTTCTGAAAGACTGCTCGAAATCCGCTGAAGAAGCACGGTGCCCCGTCCGTAACCATTGTGGCCGGAGAAGAAGTTGGCATTAGGCTTTTCACGTCAACAAATAACCTCTCTACGTCCGTGCTGGTCATCGTTCCACTTATGAGGAAGGCTATAGAATGAAGCCAATTATGAATTCTTCCTTATATATTTATAAAAACTATATCGAAATACCTCCGGGGAGCCCGCGATCTCGCTCATCCGTGACCATTAGAGTTGCCAATCTCAAGTTGTACCTCGTTGTGTGGAATGTGTCGTCAAGAGAAACGCCTCTGGAAGAGTACTTCATTAGCCACTCCAGCATAAAAGGCGTTATTATCACCGAATTATACGTAATCACCATTTCATCATGCAAATACACGCTTTCATTACAGCTCTAGAGCCTTATCTTCCCTAGTTGAACTAAGCGCTGGCTTCCCTACCTACTTGAAGACCTTTGTCACTCGGATCTCGTGGTAGCTCCATATATCTAATCCCGTCGTCAGGGTTGTTCTCCTCGTAACGTAGTTTCAGGGAGGTCACATCATCGTCATCCCTCCACCCTGGCGCCATGCGGTACTTCCTTATTATGTTGTGAAGATCCTGCTTCACGACAAAATAGAGCTTTGTAGATTTTGCTGCATTCTCTTTGCGTAGTCGACTCATGATGTAGTCCATGGAGTGTTCTAATTTGAGTTGCGTTAGATAATGTCCAAAAAGCTAATTCAGTACACTCATTACCTTCGAGCAGTGTCTTCAAGTAGATTCTCTGCCGACTCGAAAACTTGAGCAGAGCAGGGTCTAGTTCATGCCCCACATGACCAAAACATCCCTTTACCGCAACTGTCCCGCCTTCGTTGAAAGTAACATTGAGATGACACGAACAGTAACGAACGTCCTTTTTAGTTACACTGGCTCTCTGTGTTCCAGTTTTCTTATACGTTCCAGATCGGTTGCATCTGATTAAAAGTAAAGGTTTATGCTATCTCCACTTCAATTAGATTCAATCAGATGATCACGGAACTTACAAAAGAGTCAGACGAAATGATGCACCCTGTCGTATCGTAGGCAATCGTGCGAGCGACAACTGCCACACTACAC